TTTTTGAGGATAGTAAAGCCGTTTAGGGGAGATCACAACTGTTAAATGGAAAGTACACCTGTCGTGAGGATAATACACCCGTTTATTTGATAGTACAATGGTAAAGAGGACAGTGACCCTATTTTTAGGAAAATGCACCAATTTTGGGGGTTAGTACAACCACTAAAATGAAAATGCACCTGTTTTGGGGCTACTACAACCGTTAAAATGAAAGTTCACCCATTTTGAGGACAGTACAACCATTTAGAGAATAGTGCACTCGTTTATGGAGGAAAGCTAAAATGCTGGTACATTATATTTTTTTCAAAGAGCAGATCTCCATCTACAGTAACACTGTGAAAATTGACCCAGTTACTACATCATTCTTTAAGATGCTTTCTGATTGTGTTCGCAATTGTAAATTATTCTCTGTCCATAGATGTTTTTCCAGACATTTTCGAAACTGCTGTGGTGAAGCCTCTGATAAAAACAGTAGCATTGGTCATTCTGTACTAAATATTTCTAGTTAAGCCTGAAGAACAGCCCTAAAAAATGTTGTTTTCAAACAAATACATGCATATTTAATATCAAACAAGTTATATGAGAAATTTCAGTCAGATTTTCCTCCTAATCATGGCACTGAGACAGCATTGGTTCTTATTGTGAATGACCTCAGCCTCAGTGCTGATGCACAAAATCCTTCTTTTATGGTTTTATTTGATCTTAGTGCAACTTTTGATGCCGTTGACCACAAGATTGTAATCCAACCTCTTGAATGCTGGGTCGGCCTTTCAGGCAGAGTTTAGAATGGTATAAATCATATCTAAGTAACAGAGAGTTTATGGTTTTACAGGCTAGTGGTTCATAAAAATGATTTACCATTTTTTGTCCCTCTAGGTTGTAGTGTATATGGTCATCTTTATTACTGTAAGGACCACCACAACACAGTGTTGACTGATCACAGGCCCACTCAATCAAACAGGGAAAGAATATTTATTAAGCTTCATTTTTAGAAATACTAAATTTTGATTTGTTTGTGTGAGTGCTGTCACCGGATTATGGCCAACCAAATTATCATGCTCCACCTTATTTTCTCAGCCCTCCGCTCACTGCTTGCCAAATGTTCCTATCCGCCATTGTCTTGAGCCAACTTGAAGGTCTGTGAATTTTGCTTAAAGTGCTCTTTAACTACAAATGCTAAAATGAACTGAATCAAAATGTCAAAGCAAATGTTTATTTCAATGTATCAAATCATTAAAAGTAAGAGATGAGTGTTTTTTTTAAGCCCACTGTGGCAGTATGCTTTAGCCTGGGATGGTTAGGTTTTTAAGTTTGGCATGTTGTTTTTCCTTGTCTTTGTACATCTCAGCTATATGACTGTTTTTAACTCAGTTATGTTGTCTTCATTTGGGCAGAAGTTGTGCTTGTGGTGAGGAGACACATGCGTGAAGGGTGCCGTTGTGTTGTGTTTATGTGAATCCTGCGTTCTGGTTGATGTGTCACACAGTCTTGCTGTTGTTTTGAACCAGGACGCAAATATTGGAAAAGGTATAATGATGACAGCACTGCTGTTAGCAATAAACTATAGCCTGATGTAATAGCGCTGTGGTAAATAGGCCTACCCCAAAAATTTCTGTCTATGCCCCTGGTGTCCACTTTTAATTTAAAACAGCAAAAATACATGCAAAGTTGAAAGTTAATCCAAGTCCTAATGAAATGAGGTTGACAGCAAGTTTTGGACGTGTTGTCAAATATTGAAAGTTCATATCAATTTTTCTCTGTCATGATTTTAGCATGTAGCTAGACTATGGCTCAGTACGGGTTAGTGACCGTTCTCCCTGCCTCCTCCGTGTTTAAATATTACCATAGGTTCAGCTCCCCCTTCAAATGTTTCAGCACTCCTGTAAAACCAATTCTGGTGCTGATCTTGGTGATAGAAACATGGCAGCTCACAGAAGCTCACAAAAGTTCCACATGCTGATCCATTTTACTGACCAACATACATGCACACACCAGGGGGCAGATTTATAGGATTAAAGGTTAATACATTAGTAATTATCTAAAATAGATTAGTCTTCTAAACCTCTCAATGTTCAAAAGGCTGCTGTTCTGATCCAACCTTCCTTTTCCACTTCCAACTGCTTTTTTACTGTCAGGAGTATTGTACCCACAGGAGTATTGTAGCCACTCTGACAGCTCTTTTCACTGGTTTTGAGTCACATTCTCTGTTTGGATCTTTAACATAACATGATGGATAGGCTGAGGGAGAACAGCAGAGTTCCCTTCTGTCTCAAGCAAATCGCCCTGTAATATTTCTCTCCCATAAATTTGCACTGAATTGACTCTTAAAAATACGGTACTAAGCGCGTCCTTCATCAGTTCAGTATGGAACATGTCTTTTAGTTTCCAATTACAGGATGATTCCATCTTTTACAGGATGGTTGGCAACCCTAAATATAGCAGCCCTTGGCTTCGACAAATAAGATGCAGAGAGTTTCCAAAATGGGTTAATTTTATTCAGCTTGATGGACTTCGAGTATCAATAATTCCTTCACGAGCAAACAGTAATACAAACAGTAAGTAATGTAAATAACAAAAGCTTTATGACTTTAGCTTACATACACAGAGATACTGTTTAATGCCAGAAAGCGGGTGGGTTTAGCGTCACCAAAGAAGGTATAACAAACCAAAAAAGAGAACCAAAGCTTCACAGATGCTATAATACATATAAAAACAACTTGATGACTTTCTTATAACATCAGTTCAATGTTTAAATACCTCGCTCCGCATGCCAAGGCTGCAGTATTTGACGAGGCTATGAGTATTTCTTCCTTAGGTTTTCGTTTAGCCCTTTCCTTAAGCTAACAATGATGTGAATGCAAGCTGTGTAAAAAATGACAAGGCGACTCGCCAAATTCCCTGTAGAGAAGGTGTTCGCAGAACTAGCACACACAAACTAAAACCCTAAGAGCTTCAACATCTACTTGATTGAATATGATGAAAAATGTTTTCTTTTAAAATGAAAAACCAAAGTAAGGAAAGTGAAGCTACTAGTTTCCCGCGCTGCTGTGGCACCACATCCGCTCTTTTCTTAAAGGAGCAGTAACAATTATGCAGCTATACTGAGCGAATGGTCAGTTACACTAAAATTTGCTTCGCTGAGTTGGTCCAGGGTCATCTTACACTCCCTCTCCCAGTGCTTGTCCTCTAGTGTTGTAGCTGTTAGCAGCAGCACTGTTAGTGCCTGTTTGCACATTTTTTGTCACCCCTCCAAAATAATTGACTGCAGAATCACTAAACTGTTGAAGACCCGCTCTTAATAGATAACTTGTTATTAATGTCAACCAGATAATCATAGTGTACGACTGCTTAAAATTTATGGTAAATAATGAAACTTACCACGCAGCTGAGAACATTCCTCCGATTCCCGGAACCACAGCAACAGGTTATTACTCAATATCCACTTGGCGCCGGTGCTGTAGGTGCCAAAGTTTAGGCTACATTCAAGAGGTGAAGAAGGAAGAGCGTGTGATTTTGGAGCGATGTCTCAGTTATCAAAGACACTGAATAGAAAGACCTTTTTAAGACAAACAAAATGATCATCATACACTTTTAGAAATAAAGGTGCAGTGCAGGTACATTTTTCATTTATCAAGGTACAAGCAATGTTCCCTCAAACAGTGGTTTGAAGTTCCAGTTTTGTACCTTAAGTAAATTTTCCCAGTGGAAAATACATATTTGTAAAATAAAAGGACTTATAAAATATTATTTGAAAGGATTATGGTACATACTCGAGCTGTAGTTAGTCCAGGTGTAAATACTCAGACTGTCATTAATTCTTAAACTTAAGGGTTTGAGGGAAAAGAAATTATATTACATGAATATATAAAAAGAAGAGCATTTATAACAGTAAAAGCAGTGCTGTCACCACTGTCACACTGTTAGTTCTTCCTTGTAGTAGATTAGGTTTGCAGCATAAGCTGTCATGTTGGTGTGTCCCACTAAACAGTGATCCACCATTATGAGAGAAATGATCCAGGGTTATATCAAGTTAACTATAAAGTATTGCTTTCGTACTGGGGCCCATGTTGCAGGGGGGCCCACGGCAACCGGCCCCCCAATTTATTTTATTGGGCTCCTGTCAGTTGGACCGTGCAGCACAGCCACATCCATTAATACGTCAAAAATACCTCCCACACCCCTCTGACCCTGATCTCTCAAGTGATTGGTCATCTAAAAGCGCATGCAGGGTACACACATAACAACTGGTATTAGATCAGAGACGTAGTAATACTAGCTGGCAAGCTAACTTAGTTAGGTAACTTAGTGAACTCTATAGCATCGCTGTTTGTGTTCACAACTGCAAAATGAATAAAAAGCAATGCAGTGGCAGGGTGCCAAAATATGAGCTGCTGATGTGGTTAAACTAATGGAGAAATTGAATGTGTTTCATGCAACAGTGAAGTCGCATAAAATTGTTTCAAGCAACTCACAACATGCAACTACTTGCATGAATGTTTAGACATTTACATTCATGACATTTGGCAGATGCTCTTGTCCAGAGCAAGTTACGATTTGATCATTTTACACAGGTAGGTGAAGGTGGTGTTAGGAGTCCTGCCCAAGGACTGTTATTGATATAGTGTAAGGCCAGGCCAGCATACTACTACTACTACTACTACTACTAATAATAATAATGATAATGAGGATAATAATAATAATGACTGTAGCTATAAATGAGGCATTATTTTACTCATAGCTGTGGTCATTAGAGGTCATTTACTGCATGTACGTTGTTTACTAACAGGCTGCTGTCTCTCCAGCTTCATTTCAGTCAAGAGGAAAGTGAGTCCTAAACACTGTACCTTGGACATTAGGCTTTTTTATCAATGAATTAATGATGGTGACAAGTGCAAGAAAAAGTCATTTCAATCAGTTTGCTAATTAAATGAAATTTCTGAGGAGTGAATTCTCCTCATTTATTCATCTCTAAGGCCACATAAAACTACATTACACCCCTCTTGGTCTTCACGTTTTTTATTGATATGCAGAAGTTACAGAAGTTACAGTACAATCTATTCTAATCTATAACATTTATCACATATTATCTGAAAGTACAGCTGAGACATTAAATGTAGGAAGATTATGTAATTGTTTCCAGACAGTAAATTTATAATATTTCTGTTCCTCCAGTAAGAGATGAATCACTGATAGAGGAGCAGCAGAGAGTTCAGATGAAGAGGATGGAGGGGATCAGAGGGACCAGCATGATGAGGAGACTCAGCTTAACCACCTCAGCACTGTTACACAGATCAGTGTCACAGCACACTCTGCCTGTTTTATCGCACTCAGTCTTGGGTGAACATCCCTTTACAGTATTAGCCAGTACCATATATTTTTTTTCTGAGAGAGAGAGAGAGAGGAGAGAGAGAGAGAGAGGGGCGGGGGGGTAATAAAGTTACAGAGCTGAAAACCATTCAGATATTCACTGAACCTCAAACATTGAAACTGAAAAACTGAATCTGAATTTACTCCACTGAGATGCGCTACCACAAGAATAAAATATACTGATTTGTTGATGTAATATTTTTTGTAATATATTCCTGCTGAAGTGATGTTCATTTAAATTATGTAAATGTAAATTTAACGTATCAATAATGTTTGTAATTTTTTATATATCTGTTTACCATTCAACCCCATTACTACATTATTACTGTTTAATCTATATGATAGCCCACTTATGACTGCTGAGGAAAATTTAAGCAAAATGTGAAGAAATTCTATATATCTACTTCAATATTCTTTGCTTTAGATTGTTTTTTTGAGCTCCACCTCCGTCAATGTATATCATAAAACAAAAATGACAGTTGTTAAAAAATGGTCTGTAATGTGTTTTGGAATAAAACTATTCATATCATCATTAAGGACTCATTGTGTATTGATTCCCTGTTACAGTCAGGTGCTGCAGTCACACAAAATGGTGTAAAATAATTTTGTAACATTGTCATATTTATGCAATATTTTTATGCATTATTATTATTATTATTATTAGTCCTTTTTCCTTAAGAAACACACAAGTTTCATGTGAACACATCTACTTTTGCAGACCTCACATGTTTTTACATTTAAAAAGTGTTTGTGTGAAAAAATGTGATCACGTCAAAATTTCATCAAATCTGAAAACATATTCACATATGGAAAATGTGTGATTACATCTGAACAGTGTTATCACGTCTGAAATCTTGTGATCACATGCTGTTTCACGTGTAATCACACATTGTTCACAGGTGTTTCCTTGTAAGTTTTATGTTTTTAGACATTTCACATGTGAAATATATGTAATTTTCTGTAAGGGTGTTTTTCTCACTAATGTTTCCATTAGAATTTTTTATTACAGTACAGTTGTTGCTTTTGAAGATAATGCCTGTGTTTTATGATGTTTCCGAAACAAGTAACCTAAAGCTCATTTCAACATGACATTTGACATTTACTGTGTTAATAATATTGAATATTTACTGGCATTTTCTGATGAATTACAAACAGGCAGACATATGGGAATGTCAGCTCTTAAATTTGTTTAATTCAGAAATGATCCGATCTCTGCTTCAACTTAGTGTCACAGAATTTATTGTGACTCTGGCCAGACAAAGAGTCAGGCAAAGCCATTTCTCTGCTCCAAGATTTTCTTTTTATTGAACACTAGTACAAATCGAACACTACCTAGAAGGAGGTCACCACCCAACTAAAGGCTTCACACCACTGGTGACCCAGACATGATGGTTCCGCCTGGCCCTGCGTGGTCCGTTAACGGGTTCAAGTTTTTCCCTATGAATTACAACAGTCTGCTGCCCTGGCTGCACCCTATAAACCATCTCACCCAGGTGTTCTTTCACCACACAGTGGCCCTTCCAGGGTGACTGTAACTTGAGACAGTTCCCCTTCCTGTGGTGCAGGTTGCACAGCCACACTCAGACTTCATGGCGTGAGTCATTTGCCCGTTTCTGCAAAGTGCTGGCCTCACCCTGATGGTCCCTGGTGAGCTGGTGCACTGTATGGAAATGGTGGCCAAGCTCCTCAGCATATTCCACTCTGGTAACGCTGTCTTCCTCCGACCCCAGTGGGCTCCGAAACCACACCATGGCCGAACATAAGAAGAACAGGACTAAGCTCAGATGATCCCAGGGGCAATCGAGGTGATGCTGGTGAGTGATGATAGCCAGCTGAGCAGCGAGCATTCGGTTAAAATGCTCCATGAGACCATTACTTTGAGGGTGGAGCGGTGTGGTCCAAGTCTTTAGATACCCAGTTGGCTTCAAACCTCAGCCATGACCACCAACTCAAAGTTGCACCTCTGGTCACTGTGTCCTCTGTCATGGCAAAGCAGCACAAGAACTGCTCTACCAGCCACTCTGTCAGGACAGCATATGACTCAGGCCATTTAGTGAAATAATTCATGACCAGTAACAGAGCCGAGCTGGATGGTAGTAGCCTCCCAGCCGCATACCTCTTGTGGTGTGAGGAAGCACGCTCAGCCGCAGCAGAGAGATTGTTGAGCCTGTGTTGATGAGTGCGGTGAGCCATTCTCCATTGATGCTGAATTCTATCGGAAGCCCACAGAGGCAGCTGCTCTCTCCATTAGAGGAAGCAATGCTAAGGATTACTCTCTCATGGAGCTGCCCATTCTTGTTTCCTGCTGGAATTAGTGTGTGCGATGTCCCTTTTTTTCCATGCTACCAACACACTATCCACTCCTATCTACTCTACAGCCACTTGCTCAGAGGCCGATTCACACGCCGCCCCCCCTTTCAGGCTTTGCATTGCAGTGTTACTTGAGTGCTTTGAAGCCCTGTTGATGAGGATGAGCTTGGAGGCTTTAATGAGCCACACGTGCCACCGCAGCTCTTCATATAGTGATGCGATCAGAAAATACTCTAACACCAACTCCTTCTGAACCATTCTAGTGCTTAACTCTGTTTCCAATACACTTGTCCACATCCTTTTTTTTCTCAGTTTGTCTGGAAGCAGCTTTCTGATGGACAGCACTGCCAGCATCTGCAGCCCACCGCTGGAAAGCCGTGGTCAGTGCTGCAAGGGATTGCCGTGCTGCTCCACCAACAAGTCCACAAGCGTCTGGACTGCTTTCCCCCCATGACCAAGCACAGCTGGATCGTAGTGTCCACCTCTCTCCAGCCACAAAGCTGAACAACCATCTGCAGCTGCATTGCATACAGCTCCCACAGTCTTTCCTCAGAAATATGTGCTGGCTCTGCTCTACCAGCAGAGAAAGACCATGGGATGTGTTTCAGTGGTTTCACTTTCACCGGCTTGCTTGCTGCTTTTCTGACCGGCCGCTGCACTGCTCCTCTCGTCCTCTCCACTATCAGCTTCTCTTCCACTGGCTAATCTTCTTCTTCGCCTTCTGCCACGGAATTGTTTCATCTGCTGCTCAAGCTCTTGTATTTCAGTGGCGAAATCCCTCTTCTGAGCACCAAAGTGATGCTGACCAGACCAAGAGTCAGGTGAAGCCATTTTCTCTGCTCCAAGCTTTTCTTTTTATTGAACACTAGTATAAATCAAACATGAACACTCCTCTCCCTAGGTAGAGGTCACCACCAACTAAAGCCTTCATGTCACCGTTGACCCCACCCCCCTACAGATGCAACACACCCACCAAACAATATCCCAGAAGCAACATAACCCACACAACCACATAACTAATGAACTTTAAAATGAACAACATTATAGTCCTTTCGTTAGCGGTAGACCACCACAATATGCTTTAAGACATGCTTTAATATTGAAACTGTTTTGGAAATCTGATGCTGTATTTTAAACCTGATCCCATGAAGAACTTGTAGGAATAACATTAGTCTTAGTGATTTCCTTTTGAAGTCATGCAAGTATAGACTCAAACTTTATTGCTCAAAAATTTTCCGTCAAATTGGCTACAACACAAAAAACAGCTGTGAGACTGTGATTATGTGTGTGTGGCAGAGTCTAAGATGAGATTGAGCTTTATTTCTTACCGGTCATGGTAAAGCATCGATCTTCAGGAAAACGACAAGTGACAGGTTCATGATCACATATCAGTCCCTTACACTCGTAACACTTCAGAGGTGTAGGAGGCTGTAAATCTACACAGACAAACAAACAAGCAAAAAAAAACAAAAAAAACAATGAATACATGGAAGGTAAAATGTTTCACACTTCACTTTACCAACCACACTGAAATCAAATATAGATGAAGTTACAATACACAATTAAATACACATGCGCGGCATACTGAAAACTGAGTGGAAAAAGTACTGAAAATCCCTACTCAAGAAAAACTACTGTAATGGTAAGTACAAGTAAAAGTATTAATAAAGTAAATTACTCAAGTAAGAGTAAATAAGTTATTTAGTGGAAAACTGCTTGAGTAACTGAGTTACTTTTTTGTATCTCCACAGTCACGACCTGAAATATTTCTGAGTTGACTCAGAATCAGTTCGCTCTACTAGAGCACATTTATCCCTCTTTCTGTGAACTGTGTAAGAAAAAGGTTTACATGTAACTACATGCATTTCATGGTTAGATGATTATATAAGACTTCCAAGTTTATCTGTGTCCAACAATGTTGTTTAGAATCAGTGTAACGCTGCGCAGAGTTTATTACGGTTTAATTTTAAAAGTCTATATAGAGTCAAAATAACAGGTAGGATAATGAATTAATAATATAACAGCAGCCCTACTGCCCACTGGCTGAAGAAATGATTCACATTCACAGATCCAGTGCTGATTATCCAGCGCTGGTATTTTTGTATTTTTACTTTATTTACTGACAGTTAAACAGACTCAGATATAAATAAAGATGAACACAACCAGAGAGAGATAGAGAGAGAGAGAGAGAGAGAGAGAGAGAGAGAGAGAGAGAAAGAGAGAGAGACCAGAGCTAAAATAATGTGGCAACTTTACATTTTGTTTTTTACAATAAGATTATTATTATAATCTGAATATTACAGGAGAACACTTTTATAACACTCTCACCTTTGTTACACAGATCAGTGTCACAGCACGTTCTCCCTGCTGCACCACACTCAGCCTTGGTTGCACATCCTTTCACTGTATATGGTGAACCCATCGTTCCATCTGAGAGAGAGAAAGAGAGAAAGAGAAAAGAGAAAGGAGGGGTAAAGAAAGTTACAGAGCTGAAAACCATTCACAGATATTCATAGAACATTGAAACACTGAAAAAGCTGAATCTGAATTTACTCCATTCAGATGGAATCCTACATGAATAAAATACACTGACATGCCAAAAGTCAGGGGACAGAAACTAGTATCATGCAGGCCACATCATTCTCTCCAGAACGCTCCTCAAACCTGGACAACTTGGACCCGATGGCACACTGCATTATCCTGGTGGAATATCCCATCATTGTAGGGGTACGTGAAGTCCACACTAATGTTTCCCTTAGAAGTTTAATTACAGTATAGTTGTTGATATTTTGAAGATCGTGCCTGTATTTTATTGTGATATGTCTGAATTAAGTAGTATATTTTTAATAATTCTGATGATGCTGGTAAAATGCTAACCTATTATTATGAAGCTGATTCGGCATATTTTTATGGAGCTGTGTTAGTAATGAGTATTTACTGATGTTTTCCTGATGAATTACAAATAGGCAGATGTTTGGAGATGTGAGCTCTTAAATTTGATTAATTCAGAGATGATTCAGCCTCTACTTCAGCTCAGTATCATACAATACGTTTTCAGACAGCTTAATATTGAAACTGTTTTGGAAAGTTGATGCTGCATTTTAAACCTAACCTCATCAAAAGAAATCAGCTCTAGTGATTTCCTTTTGATTTCATACAAATATGGATATAAGCTTTACTGCTCACAACTTTTCACATAAATGAGTTACAACAAACAAACAGCTGTGAGACTGTGAGTTGTGTGCTGTAGAGTCTTAGATGAGGTTGAGCTTTATTTCTTACCGTAGATGCAGCGATCTTGATGTCTAGAACACTCCACAGGTTCATGATCACATGTTGGCCCCTCACACTTGTAACACCTCAGAGCTGCAGAACCCTGTAAAGCTTCACAGATAAAGAAACAAACAATGAAATGTGAATCTAAACAAATGAAATAGAAATAAGCACATGTTCTGCTAGCCTCTTCACAGGATCACAAACAGTGAAAAAAGTTAACCAAACATAAAGTATCAAAAATAGCATTTAGTTTTCATTCTGAAATGATTCACAGTGGTGAATGTGCAAAAGGCTAATGATATTTTGCATCGTTTAGTACTGATAATGAGTTTTGGTTGTCTGAGGCTTACATTCCCACTAACACTCTGCACATTGCAACTATTTAATGTAGATTTAAAATAGAATACATATAGTTGATATATAAGAAGATACAACAGTCTGAAAAAGAAAATTCTCTGGATTTAAACATATAGGCATACCATGTGATATTAAGTACCAGTACCTTCTGAAAAAAGCATGTAGACGAGCATCAGAGTGACCAGCATCTTCATTGTTGGTGAGTTTGAGAAGTTGAGAGTGTGATGGAGAGATGAGAGTCAACTTCATTTATATAGAGTTCTGAGAAGGTGTGGCTTTGAAGGTATTGTTCCTGTTTACAGCTCTCCACTGTTACCACACCACCTGCCCCCTTTAGTCTCGTGGTTTTAAAGCCACATTTCAAATGTCTTTAATAAAAGAACATGCTAATACTTAGGGCATATGCTGTTGAAGGGATCCTGTAATCAAGCTTGAATCTTTTTTTATATAGAATGCTTTGTTTAAGAATATATTTCTAACACATAGGAATAATAGCAGTTCTTTGGCTTTTTTTTCTCTGTCAGGCATGTGACATTGTCCTTGAGAAGGGCGCTGCCCATCTCCAAACTAGCCTAACAGATATTGTGGCTGGCTGCACTGTAAACTTAGATTAGTTGGCAATATTCTCCTTTTACAAGTCCTGCTAATGCTTAGGTTAACTTGAATCAAATACTCTTCCTTGTGTAGCATATTGGCATCAATTAAAACAAATCCATTACATTAAATCAACTGTTTTGTACAGTATCAAATAATTGGCTCAGATAAGACTAAAATCAGCCATTGCTGAGGACTCTAATAGTTTAATGCATGTTTGCCATTCTATAGCACTCATGGTGATCGGCACAACACCAGCATTGTGAGCAAACAAAAACATGTTATACATCCAAACTTCACATTTAACATAAAAATATGCTATGACACAAAAATAACATTTTACAAAGAGAATTACATTTATAAATGACAAAAATAAGAAGTAATTAACAGAAACCAACAAAATCACTAAGAATGCTTTGAAGACATTTGAGCACAGGTCTGTAGGATTTATGTTTTACAGTTTGTGGCACAGGACCTGGAACTGGGTATTTCCATCATCATATAACCGAGAACCGTCAAGACCTCGGGCCTGACTGAGAGTGACTTTTGCTGATGTCATTAAGAGGGACACCGTTTTGCAATCACACAGGGTCATCAACGCTGAAAAACAAGATGTTAATTTGACACTGCCTCATGGCCTATGTGCATTAATGTCATCCAATGTTTTGATACGCCTTAACGACCAATCAGAGAGATAATGATAGTATTGTTTAAAATATAGCAAATCAGAAGTGATGTATTCGACTAAGTTTGACGAACGTATAATTTGACCAAGTCTTTATTAGATGGGGAAGACAACTGCAGGTACTCTCACCCCCTCCTCCCTCTCTCCCTACTCAGAGTTTGAGTCTACTAATTTTTTAAGTTTTGACTTGGTTAAGTTTTTGTATGTGAGGTTATGTGTGCTTGTGTGAACGTGATGACGTGTTGAGATTATTTTTCTTTTTGTTTCAGTAAAAAATAAAAACACAACAGTGCCTGGTTTGGAGATCTGTCATGAGCCTGAGTCTAGCTTCTGAGTTTATACTGCTTGTTTTGTTCATCTTTTTTTTTAAGTGATCAGACATTTGCAAGTCGTAGGTTTAGAAGTGGTATTCTGGTTAGCTTTGCTAGCCTTGCCTGTACACCAACTCACCTGACCCTTTTGCTTATGCTCACAAGCCCGTTGACAGCATCTTCCAGTCTTAGGCAAGACTGTAGTTGACTCTAGGCCTGAATGTTAAGTCCTTACACCGTATCCTGATGTCCAGTAACGTTTCCTGGTCTTAGACAATCTTTGACTTGCACGTTCTGGACAAACAGTATGTGAAACATACACAATACACAAATTATAGGCAAAACCTGCATGTTAGTGGGAGAGGTAGCCCAGCTGTTGCCGTCTCCAGGTGCTGTTGGAAGTCTATGTATGTTACATCAGAACATGAGTCCAGTACTGATACACTGATACTAAGCTTATCACTAATGAAAATGTCCACTACTGAAGAAATTGGTCAGTTTGATCATCTCTCAAAAGAGCTCAGTAACACTGAATTAAATATATTATTCTTCATGTTGATTTATCATTGAACTCAGACTTTAGCAGGACATTCAGTGTTTCTAAAGAAATAGTGGCAGCACTTAGGTGCCACTACGAGCCCAAAGGTGTATTATACACTTCTCTAACCTGAGAATACAGGTGAGTACAGAAGTACTTGCACAGACTTTAATTTGAAATAAGTAGTCTTTACAAAGCTGTTACACATTGAAAGTGTAACTTTATACATATTTACACAGCAAATATTCCCTCTTAGAACATTTTACATAGTGTACACATTACTATAAAAGCTGTAGACCAGATCTAGTTTAAAAAACAATGATATAAAGTAAGTACTGTCTGTATTGTAGTGTGAGATATGAACGGATGAAGCAAAAACAACACACAGGCAAAAAGGCAAAAATAGAAATGTATTATACTAATACAGGTTAACCAGTGAAACAAGACTTTTGATAAAGAGAAAATCTACATAATATACAAGAATATAACAAATAATCAAACTTAATGTTGCCTTTTCAAAGTGTAACTTGGGGTTTTTGTATTCTGAAAACATTCTGAATACTTGTGTTCCGTTACCTGCAACATACATGCCATTAACATATTTTTCAAGTGAAAAAACCTTGATTGATTCAGCAGAGACTAACTTTTGAGACTTCTTAAGCTGTCTAAAACACAGTTTCTCATCTTTGCATGTATTTTTAACACTGGGAAGTTTTGAGCAGAGACAGTCTCCACAAAACCACATCCTCCCTCAATCTCTGAAATCTGCTAACAACGAAGCTGCTGTTGACACACCTGCCTGCATGTCTCACTCTAGTAAAATATCACAACACTATGAATGCTGTGTTCTGTATACATAGATAAACCTGAACATTACATATTGTTTTATCTGTTCATTGTGCATTTTATTAATGATTTTTGTTATAAATTACAAGTATTCTTACCATTATTAATATATAATATAATAATATAATATTAATATAATATTAATAAAAAATAAATAAATAATAATAATAAAATAATAAATTCACTATTCTGTAGTCATGTGAAGAAGTAAGTACACCCTGTGGAAAGTATAGACTTTTTAAACATATTGGCACATACAGACATTCATTTACACAATACTGATAGATAAAGGTGATATATATTAACAGTATATTGTCACTGTCCAATGAAAACCATGTATCTCCATTTTTGTTGATTTTTAATTTTCTACATAATTTCAACAAACCAGCTGTCCTTTATGTTGTGTACAAATTTGGACCAATAGAAATGCTCTAAAATCATTTGAAACCAAATTTACATTGACTTACATTGAAAGGTAAAAGTGTTTTTGCCTTCTCTTGTAAAGTTCATATTTTGGAGATACTTGTTTTTCATTGGACAGTGATGATATATAACACTACTCCTGTTGGGACAAAACCTTGTATCTCCATTTTTGTCATTTTCCATTTTTTTTACATAATTTGAAATAGCAATTGCCCTTTGTTGTGGTTTGAAATTACGTGGAAATAATTATTTCTCCATTTACTTGCATTAAACAGCAGCAATATTTACATAGTCCTGAGGGTTCAAACCTATTGTGTTCATTGCCATTATGCAAAGCTTGTGGGTGCTCATTAGCCTGAACATTGCATTCATTCCATAAACCAGGGGCCACAGGCCCACTGCATTCACACGTATACTCTGTGCCATGGGCCCATTGCATCCATTTGACAGCTCGGGGCCACAGACCCACTTTAAACACTCATCAGGTCAAGGCCACAGAACCCATTGCATTCACTCCATTAGCTTGGGGCCATGAGTCCACTCATGCACTGTGTTCACTGGGCCACAGGCCCATTCATGCACTGTGTTTACTGGGTGACAGGGCCATACATGCACTGACTAAAACCTTACCTCTTCTAAGAAGTCTCAAAGAATCACAAAATCGTAGGTAGCTCTTGTCACTGTTGATGTAAAAGTACATGCGTCTATCATTAAAAAAGGCTACACAAATTTGACCTACATGGGAGGTGCGCCAGAAGGAAGCAGAAAGAGAACTGTCTAGAAAGAACATCAGGACATGACTAAAGTTTGCTAATGAATAATTAGGTAAGGACCAGGACCTCTGGAACAATGTGCTATGAACAGATGGGTCAAAGAGTCAAAGAAGGTTTTGTGTTCAAAGAAGGTGTTGGGCCATGTGCACCGTGTTAGCTTGGGCAATGGGCCCATACATGCATTACCTTAACTCAGGGCTCATGCATGCGATACATTAGCTTAGGCGAGTGTGGTGACAGCGACTGAAAGCTCGCCTAGTGTAATGTGATTGTGCGAAAGTGAATGGACATGCAAAAGCTCTGAACCATCATATTCATTATGGCTGAGAGAAAAGTGACTGGAACTTGCAAAAGCTTGGGCCATTGTGTTTGTTGTGACTGTGTGAGAAGTAGAGAATTTTGCTAGACATGAAGCCATAGAGATCATAGAGATATAGTATATATAGTATTTAGTGAAATGCTTAATCATTAAAGCTGATATGTACTTGGTATTTCTTACATTCATTACTCTGCACTTCCCTATTAAATTTACTAAACTTTTTAATGTAAATTTGACTTTAAAATAGTTACTAAAACTGTATTTCTTCATTTACTGGGTAAGTACTCTAAAAATACTCTCCTAAAAACTCTTCACTCAAAACAGTGTTCTTAATATTGCCTTTTCAAAATGGAACTTGAGTGAAGGGACTTGGTTTTTGTATTCTGAAAATATGTTCTGACTACTTTTATCCCATTACATGCAACATACATGCTGTTAATATATTTTTCAAGTGCACAAAGCCTTGGTTGGTTTAGCAGAGGCAAACCTTCGAGACTTCTAAAGCGGTCTAAAAAAACCACAGTTTTTTTTTTCTTTGTACGTGTATGCATTTGTATGTGTATGTTTTCAAAAAACCACATCCTTTCTCAACCTCTGAAATCTGCCAGCAAAGCTGCTGTTGTCACACATGTCTGCATGTCTCAAAGTGAAGGTCAGTTTCTTTTGAAATATGTATATGTAGATAAACCTGGACATACTGAAAGGGCAAAATTACCATACACT